CAAGTCTTGCATCTGAAGAAGTGAGGTTCTTACCCACGAAAGCTTATGCTCCTTATACTTCTGTTAGTCTCTAATTCTTTTGTGAACCCTGTTATAGTTTTGGCTTTCACAACATCCCCTGGCAGTGAGTTCCATGGGTTGATTGTACATTATGTGAAGAAGTACTTCCTTTTGTTTGTTTTAAACCTGCTGCCTTTAAATTTCATTGGGTGATCCCTGGTTCTCCGTGATTAATTATTAATTAATCATTAATTCATAAATAAGAGTAACAAGAAAGACACTAATTAGTGCCCATTGTGCCGGAGGCTTTTGTGACATGAACACTGAGAGAGGCAATGCGTGCTAGACTGAAACTCAGGAAACCTGGGTTCTATTATTATTCCTGGCTCTGCCACTGGCCTGCTGGATGGCCTCGGGCAAGTCACTTCCCCTCTTTATGCCTTAGTTTCCCCATCTGTAAAATGGGAGTAATGATACTGACCTGCATTGTAAATTGTATTGAGATCTACTGATGGAAAGCACTTGATAAAAGCTAGGGATTATTATTATTACCTAAGAGAAGCTCTGAGACCCACCAAAATCATAACACACTGGACACCATGAGCCATTAGCTGTCAGCACTTTCCATCAGATTTAAACCCAGACCCTGTCTCTGAGTGTCAAAAGATGGATGTTTTCAGGCTGCAAGACACTTTAAAAGCACTTTCCCCCTCCCCATCCACGCTTTCAACTTTCAAAACAGACCCAGCTAGCACCCGCTCTGAGGAGTGTGAGCTTACTTGTGAAGTACAGAAGTTCTGAAGCGAAGCCAATCTTGCACCAGTAGTACTGGCATGCTGGCTCTGTCGAGCAAACTTGGTTCTACCCCCTGCACTGTCACACTGGTAAATTCTCAGAATGGAGAGGGGTAACTAGTGGTGTTCCCCAAGGGTCAGTCCTCGGACCAATCCTATTCAACTTATTTATAAATGATCTGGAGAAAGGGGTAAACAGTGAGGTGGCAAAGTTTGCAGATGATACTAAACTGCTCAAGATAGTTAAGACCAAAGCAGACTGTGATGAACTTCAAAAAGATCTCACAAAACTAAGTGATTGGGCAACAAAATGGCAAATGAAATTTAATGTGGATAAATGCAAAGTAATGCACATTGGAAAAAATAACCCCAACTATACATACAATATGATGAGGGCTAATTTAGCTTTAACAAGTCAGGAAAAGGATCTTGGAGTCATGTGGATAGTTCTCTGAAGATGTCCGCGCAGTGTGCAGAGGTGGTCAAAAAAGCAAACAGGATGTTAGGGATCATTAAAAAGGGGATAGAGAATAAGACTGAGAATATATTATTGCCCTTATATAAATTGATGGTTCGCCCACATCTCGAATACTGCATACAGATGTGGTCTCCTCATCTAAAAAAAGATATACTGGCACTAGAAAAGGTTCAGAAAAGGGCAACTAAAATGATTAGGGGTTTGGAATGAGTCCCATATGAGGAGAGATTAAAGAGGCTAGGACTCTTCAGCCTGGAAAAGAGGAGACTAAGGGGGGATATGATAGAGGTTTATAAAATCATGAGTGATGTGGAGAAAGTGGATAAGGAAAAGTTATTTACTTATTCCCATAATACAAGAACTAGGGGTCACCAAATGAAATTAATAGGCAGGAGGTTTAAAACAAATACAAGGAAGTTCTTCATGCAGCGCACAGTCAACTTGTGGAACTCCTTACCTGAGGAGGTTGTGAAGGCTAGGACTAGAACAGCGTTTAAAAGAGAACTGGATAAATTCATGGTGGTTAAGTCCATTAATGGCTATTAGCCAGGATGGGTAAGGATTGGTGTCCCTAGCCTCTGTTTGAGGATGGAGATGTATGGCAGGAGAGAGATCACTTGATCATTGCCTGTTGGTCCACTCCCTCTGGGGCACCTGGCATTGGCCACTGTCGGAAGATAGGATACTGGGCTAGATGGACCTTTGGTCTGACCCAGTACGGCCATTCTTATGTTATGTTCTAACAAGGCCAGACTCCTGTTGACTCGCTGCGTGACCCTAATCACATCACTCCTCTGTGCCTCAGTTTCTTCATCTGTAAATCAGGGATGATAACAACACAGCCCTACCTGGCAGAGGGGTTGTGGCTCTTCCTGGAGGTTTGCAAAGCCTTCTGAGATCTTCTTCAGGTGAAACAGGCGCACACAGAGAACAGGAATCACCAGAGGAAGAGCTGACTGGGGCCTTGGAGCTGCAAAGGATATTATGAGGGGGAAGTGACACAACGGAAAGAAATCAGAACCAAGAGCAAATCAGGGTGAAATTTTCCCAGCGCGCACAGCGGGAGAAAAGTTAGGCCCGTGCTAATTACTGTGGAAAATGCAGGACTGGGAGCAACGTGCTGATTCAATGACCGATCTACCCTACCCCAACCTTACCCCCTGGCAAGAAGGGGTAAGAAAAGCCCCCCTTTTCCTTCTACACTCCAGCAGTACAACTCCATATCCTGATCCCCCTTATTCCCAGGTTCTGGGGGGGGGGTCCACAGATGGATGCTACAAAGCCAACACCTGCTTCTCAGGGCACCGTAGATGGGAGCCCAGGACTGATTCCCTGCCTTGCAGCACAGGGCTGCAAGATGGGGTATCTCCCAAATGTCTAGATTCCTCTCCACAGAGAGAGGGTATTTGTTTTCACCCCTTGATGGTGGGGAGGGTTGGGGTGCAAAGGACCCCCCCCTCAACGCCCTGGGACTGCTCAGTGGGATCAGGTGCCCCAGTTCACCACTGATGGGAGTGGGGCATAATCCCCTGTGTATATTTGATGGGGGGAAAGCTAAATCCTCCTAATTCCCAGCTGTATATATTGGGATGGGGCCAGGGAGAGCCCCTCCCACTGGGGGTGTATATTGGAGTAGGGCCAGGGAGAGCCACGCCCACTGGGAGGTGTATATTGGGGTGGAGCCAGGGAGAGCCCCTCCCACTGGGGGCTGTATATTGGAGTAGGGCCAGGGAGAGCACACTCCCCAGGGGGGAGTTGTATAGTTGGGGGTGGGGCCAGGGAGAGCCCCTCCCACTGGGGGGTTGTATATTGGAGTAGGGCCGGGGAGAGCACACTCCCCAGGGGGGAGTTGTATAGTTGGGGGTGGGGCCAGGGAGAGCCCCTCCCACTGGGGGGTTGTATATTGGAGTAGGGCCGGGGAGAGCACACTCCCCAGGGGGGAGTTGTATATTGGGGTGGGCCGAGGAGACGCCCCTCCCACGTGGGGGGTGTATAGTTGGAGTAGGGCCGGGGAGAGCACACCTCCCGTGGGGGGGGTTGTATATTGGGGTGGGGCCTGGGAGAGCCCCTCCCACTGGGGGGTGTATATTGGGGTGGAGCCAGGGAGAGCCCACTCCCCGGGGTGGGTTGTATATTGGGGGTGGGGCCAGGGAGAGCCCCTCCCACTGGGGGTGTATATTGGGGCCAAGGAGAGCCCAGCCCCAGAGGCCTCAGGATCTCCCTCCCCACTACTCATGGTTACCCTGGTAACAGCCCCCTCCCTCCCGCTCACTTACCCGCACCAAGATGGCGGCAGGGGTGGCCTCAGGAGCGGCCGTGCGCAGGCGCCGGCCCCGCCCGGGCGGACTGGACGTGACCCCTGTGCCAAGCGCTTCCGGTTCCGGGGTAGCGGCGGCGGCCGAGAGGGTTCGGGCCGCTGTTTGTAAACTTGTCTCCCGGGGGAGAGCGCGGAGGCAACGGCGGAGCCCGGAGCCCGCAGCGGCCGAGCCAGGTACGGACCCCACAGCCGACGGGCCGCGGGCCCTGGGGGCCAACGGGCCCCACCCCTCAGGGGGCCGGGGCCGGAGCCGGCTCGGCCTTGCACCCCCCCGCGCCTCGGCCTTGCGCGCATGCGCTTGCACGCTCGCGCCGGGGCCCTTGCACGCTCGGGGGGCTGTGGCTTGCACACTTACAGCCACCCGCGGGGGTGCGACTTGCACACTTGTGAGCGTTGGGCCTTGCCCGCCCCCACGCGCTTGTGTGCACACTCGTGCTCAGGCCTTGCACGCTCAGACACAAGCGCAGGTTGCAACGTTGCCCTCTTGGGTCCCCGCCTTGGGCTAGCTGCGTGCTTGCACACCCATGCTGTGGTTTTGCACACTTGCCCACAGGCTGAGGCTATTGCACATGAGCATGCTGCAGAGGCACTTGAATTTAGCTTGCAACAAGCTGGGTGCTTGCGCACACTTACCCTGTGTGCACTCTGGGATGCTACACTGAGCACCTATTGTGGTGCCTGCTTCCTCCGATTCATGCACCGGACCTCACTTGTGCTGCCCTGTGTGTCCGCACTCATAGTAGTTCACACCAAGGTGTGGGGTGATCTTCCGGCAAATCGCAAACTTGTTCGCTCCACTTGTGCATGCACGGACAGGAATGAGAATCCACAGTTATGCTCATTACTGCTTGCTCGTTCGCAGCCTCGCTGTACTTCCATGCAGCCTCATGGAGCAGATAGATGGCACTACAGAGTGTCAGATTTTATGCTTCCTGTTTCGAAGAATAGAAAGTTACCACCTCTAAACACTTTCTCCTGAACTGTGAAATAATAATGTCAGAGAGCACCCAGTGCAGCCTTTCTGTACATGCCGGTATTCGAAGAAGGAAGGGGTGTGTTTGAACACAAGGTGGCAGTCAGGATTCCCGGGTTCTCTTCCCAGCTTTGGGATGGGAGCGTGGCCTAAAGGTTAGGGCAGATCACTGAAAGTCAGAACTCCTGGATTCTCCTCTCGGTGTGACCTGGGGCCAGTCACTTTACCTCTCTGTCTGTCTCCCCATCTGCAAAATGTTGTTGTCAAGGCTAACTTTGCACAGGGCTTAGAGAAGCTCGTAAACAGTAGAGAGAGAGAGAGTATTCTGTCTCTTCTCACCTTCCAGTAGAACCTCTGCTAATATTAGGGCTGGTCTACACTGGGGGGGATCAATCTAAGATACGCTACTTCAGCTATTTGCGTAGCTGAAGTCAAAGTATCTTAGTTCGACTTACCTGGCCGTCCTTGCGGCGGCAAGTCGACCGCTGCGGCTCCCCCGTCGACTCTGCTTACTCCTCCTGCCGAGGTGGAGTACGGGCGTCAATTCGGGGATCAATTTATCGCATCTAGACGAGATGCGATAAATCGATCCCCGATAGATCGATTACTATCCGGCGGGTAGTATAGACATGGCCTTAAGCAATGAATTTTGCCTGGGTTCTCTTTGTATGAAGGTGCTTTGACACACTGATATAGAAGTTTCTTTCTCTAGCCGTCCCTCATCAATTGGTTCAGTTATGCTTCTTTTTTTTTTACTTTCACAGGCTCAGACTAAACCAGAGAAGTGTCTGCAGCGATATCGAGGCACAGAGATCAACTCCCTTTATCCAGGATCCATCCAGAAGCAGGGCTAGGGTTGGGATGACTCCTCTGTAAAAGCGGTGCAGTCAGTTACCTTCCCGTCTAGCTTCTCCAGCTCTCGGCAGTGCTTGGGGAAGACGCCCTTAGAACGCCACACACAATTTCAGACTCTCAGAATCCAGAAAGATGTCGGCAAAGTGGAGGGTACTGGACAAGACCAGCAAAAAATGATTAACTGAAAAAAAAAAAAATCTTTCTAATCGTAAAATTCTTTCCCGGGAGAGAATTAAGGCTAAAGAATTGTTACAATCCGTTTGTTGAGGACAGACAGACAAGATGGCTCAGGTAATGAGCCCCAATTTTCCCATCTGTAACAAGAATGCAACGTCACAGGGAGGTGACTGTCAAGCTGAATGGGCTGCAGAGCCCTTGGTGACCCACAGTGATAACGGGTAGAAGCCGATACTTAATGCAAACAATATAGTTCTGATCAAACGAAGAATCGGTTAAATTAAACAGGAGGTTAAGCATATGCAACCAACACGGTTGCACACATACCACCACAAAACTGGAATGCTTGCTCCCAAAACACTCCACTTCTTAAGCTCAAGGGAACTCTCCCGTTAGCTACCAGGAATATTAATTTAGAAACCCTCTTTGTAGACCTCCACCCACCAGAGGGTGGTGTAGTTGCACATGTGGCTGAATATGTCCGATTCATTCTGTTAGAGGGTACTGGCATGTTTGGGCAGTGGCTGGTTAGGTTATGGCTGGCTAAGCTCATCTCAACCCTGCATCTTTCATGGTTGTTTGTCTCGTCTTTTAGGCGAGTCTCCTGGCCTGCGAGGGCCTCTCTGGGGTGTGCCTCGTGCCAACTGTTGCCAGCAAGAAGATGATGCCAAAACAGAGCTCCAAGCAGACAGAGAATGGAGAGAGAGGGAACAGTCCGAACATGCTGGTATGGGGGGAGCTATTACAGGTGTTCTCTACCCTGATCCTGCCCCATCCCCATACCTACTGTCATTGACGTGACTAGAAAGGGGTGTCTAAATGTAACGGCTCAGGGCTTCTCCAGAGGGTTCTGGGGGCAAGGGGCTCTGGAAATGCACACAGGGAAAGAACTGACCCCTGTTTTCTCTCCTTAAGGGTCTCCGCCAGGAGAGCGAGAAATCTCGCAGCCGTAAAGAGGAAGAGCCGGCAGAAGCATCACAGCCAAAAAAGACCATTAAAAAGGCAGGTAATCGTCCGTCATATGGTCAGGGAGGAGCGGGGCAGACGGGGCTGCCTTATGAAGTCTTACCACGCTCAGGGCCAACCCTTCTTCCTGAGTGAGCTGTTGGCATTGCTGCCTGTATCTCAGACAGCAGCGGATTTCAGGCGTTTGGCTCCAGACACTCTCATAGCTCAGGCATCCGGCTCCTCACCATCGCACAGCTCACCCTTGAGAGCCCAGCACCTTTCAGCCAAGAAATGGATTCACAGGCTCCAAGAGTGACACTGGGTAAAGGTGGTGGTGGGGGGTGGAGACGATACCCCCAAACCAAAATGTGAACTCACGTCCTGTGGCAGATACTAGTTCTCCCTGCAATACTGAGCCCATCTCACCTGCAAGAAGAATCTCTGCTAAAATGGGAAGAGTGCTCTTGTGGGTAAAGCAATGGGACTTGGGGCTGGTCCACACTAAGCCCCCAGTTCGAACTAAGATACTCAACTTCAGCTACGTGAATAACGTAGCTGAAGTCGAAGTATCTTAGTTCGAACTTAAAGGTACTTACCGCGGGTCCACACGCGGCAGGCAGAATCCCCTGTCGACTCCGCCTACTCCTCTCGCGGCGCAGGATTATCGACGGCAAACTCTTCCGGGATTGATTTATCGCATCTAGACAAGACGCGATAAATCGATCCCAGAAGATGGATTGCTTGCCGCCGAACCAGCGGGTAAGTATAGACGTACCCTTTGAATCAGAACTCCTGAGTTCTGTCCTTGGACCTGCCATAGGCTTGCTGCATGGCCACAAACATATCCTTTAACCTCTCGGTGTCTTCATCTTCCGTCTTCCCTTCTAGGAGGATTAGGAGGCTAAACTATTTATATTGTAGCAGTACTAATGGTACCTCCCTCTTCACAATCTTTAACGCGGTGGCTAGGGGCCCCGAAGTCCTGTTGTGCTAGGCACCGCACCGACACATGACAAAAATGGTCCTTGCCTGAAGCATTCACAAGAGTGCTTGGACGTCACCAAATGGAAGGTGGTAGGGAGGGGTGAATACCTCTCCCAGTACCTGACCCTAGAGCAGTGTTATGTGCTTGCTGCGCCGTGCGCTGGAACGGTGAGGGTCTGTCTGTGCTTCGCAGGTGATGGTGATTGAGCAGAACGGCTCCTTCCAGCTGAGAATCCCCAAGAACTTTATTTGCGAGCATTGCTACGGAGCCTTTCGGAGCAGCTACCATCTCAAGAGACACATCCTCATCCATACTGGTAAAGAGCCAGGAGAGCGAAGGTCTTGCTTTGCCGATGGCTGGTGTGGGCCTTCTGGCTCAGAAGCAGAACAGGGGGTGACGCATTGAGAGGCTGATCCGTAACTCCAGCTGCGTCTGTAACTTGAACTGGGCTCCAGTGGGGACGGGGGCTCGGCTCTTTAAGCAGAAAGGTTGCAAGAGGGCACTAGGGTCCTAGCGATGTTTAAATGAGAACATGTACCTGCCTGGATAATGGGTCTTGGGCGCAGAGTTTGCGAACGCTGCCTTTAAAGGTGGTACGTTCACTGCATTGCATTCTAGCTCCTACCACTGGATCTGACGAGGAGGAAGCTGCGGTTGCCATATGAGCCGCTCCTTGCTGAGAGCCTGGATCGTGATGGTGGAAGATCCTTGCTCTTCTGTCCCTATCCCCCTGCCTCTCTCTTTGCTTTTCTGCTGCTTCGTCCCGAACAGCCCGGCTCGCGGCGAGGTGGAGAGAGCTGTGAGCTGTAGAATAGGGTGGGGCTGTGACACCAGAGAAAAGGGGGGACCAAACAGGCTGTGCAGAGGGGATGACGGGCGGGATTAAATCCGTCCCTGCCCCGGTGAGTTTTCAAGGGGGGTTACTCAGCTGTGGGGCATGCACCTCTTGATCAGTTAATGCCGACCAGCCTGGTGAAGGATCTTTCTGAACGGGGAGAAGGCAGCGGCTTTGCAGATGGGTTAAGAAGCTGCCCACGTATAAGGGGCAGCACAGAGGAAGGTGCTGAGACAGGAGTAGGAAAGGGAAATGAAGAGGAGAGGTGGTTCGAAGTGTCATTATTGATCCGGTAAGGGGCGGGGGGGGCACAGTAGGAGACCAGGGCGGAGGTGCAAGCCAGACAGGCTGGTGTGGGGGTCTAAGGCAGTGCAGTGGGGATTCGGAACCAGGTGGTGGCATGAGGCTCCGTGCCACCACTGGGGTGGACAGGGAGTGGGGCGGGGGGGCAGTGGGCAGTACAAGCCTCCCTATCACAGCCCCTTCTGCTCTTCCCCAGGTGAGAAGCCGTTCGAGTGCGATCTGTGTGACATGCGCTTCATCCAGAAGTACCACCTGGAGCGCCACAAGCGCGTGCACAGCGGCGAAAAGCCCTACCAGTGCGAGCGCTGCATGCAGGTAACCCCCACCCTGGCCAGGCATGCCACAGCTTTGCCGCAGACACTCCCCCACCCACGCCCTGCAAGGGTTACTCCTGAGGCGGCTGGGCGTGGGGAGGAGATGCCCCTTCCTGGGACAAGGCATCAGCCCAGGCTCTGTGCTGGGGAAGCTGCTGGGCTCCGTGGTTTCCTAGAGCAGGACAGCGGGATTATCACGGGGAGCTAGCGCGCTCAGATCTGTGTGCGCACAGTGGGGGGAGCCGCTTCCTTCCTGTCGGAACCACTGTCCTCCTACGAACCGCCTGGACGAGAGCTTGCCGGGAATTTGTGCTGTTCGATCTGGCCCGGTCAAATCTGCCTGGTGCCGCTTTTGGTCTGTGCCTAGCAGTGCAGATCTCTGCCCAGGGCCTACGGAGCCCGGCTCATCTTCCTAGCGCTGCAGAGCTATGAGCAAATCCTCCCACAGCCCCCTGGAAGTAGGGGACTGCGAAGGGTTTAAGGTCAGACATCGCTACCTTTTAGGGGGCCGACATGAGCTGTGAGGGCCCCCAGCCCTCCTGGACTTGTGCTGGGATTGCAGGTGCTCAACAGCTCTTACAATATCAGGCGGCCTGGGATGGCTCCCCCAAAACAGAGGCACCCCCAGTCGGTAGCCACGCATGGAAAACGTTGGCCCAGCTGTCTTGCAGAGTCGGTGTCAGAGCTGGGTTAGACTCTGGGCTCTCACCCAGCAGAGCAGTGCAGAACAGCCAGACACACGTGGGGCTGTGTCTTCTCTCTAGACACCGACTCGGTCAGCTGAGCAGCGTGGCTGGGCGCTGGGCAGGTTCTTGGTTACGGTCCAGCCCCTTGTGCTGTTCAAACAGTGCAAAAGAGCTTGGCTTCTGGCTGAAAACAGCCAGTGGGGAATTCACATGACAGAAATTAGGGACCCATCGAGTGGGAATTAAAAGCTGGTGTAGGGAGTGGGGATGGGACATGGCCGTGCTAATTCTCCATTGCCTAAGTCAGTGATTTTCAAACTTTTCTTTCTGGCAACCCAGTTGAAGAAAATTGATGCCTGCAACTCAATGGAGCTGGG